AGGTGAAACGGATTTACGCAAACAATCATCGAACGATACCCAAAGAATGAATTAAGGGAACAATCTACTGTCAAATAGCCACATCAATGCAAAATTAAAGAGTAACACGGACAGTGTAAAATATCGAATTAAAGAAAACTTGAAGAGAAACAAAATTGAAGACGGGAGTACACGATATTTTTTGTGGATGCATTCATTAGCGGTTTGTTAGACAGTCGTTGATCTTTGCACCTAGTTTGGAACTGGCTTGCCTAGTTAAGAGTAACGTGGTTAGTTCTTTTCTCCCAGTTACTTACCAACCAGGAAAATTTATTTTAGAGGAAAGTTTTCTTTCCGGCGGCAAATACTACTTTTTTTAATATCTATTCGCTTCGTGAATGGTTCAGATCCTATTGTTCGCTTGCAGGGCCTCGTATGTTCAATGACTATTCTTCCGTATTTTCTCATACGATTGTGCGCATATACAAATATTAGTCTAACCGCACCCGTGACGTAGACTTGTCAACGTTCAAACTGTTTTTAGGCATGTCAACCTCAAAGTCATTGTTATTGTAAGAAATATTGGTAGCTCTAGTGGGCTTATTGGTGGTTGATCTTCGAACCTATCAACTAGCGTGCAACTTCGCATAATTCCCTGTCGATTTATTTAACTAGATACTGTTGTCATGGCGTGCATTCATCAGAATCTTCTTATCTACACAGATTTTTGAGATCAGGCGGTTAGCCCGATGACTTCCTAAGAACGTACTCCTTAGAAGACCTGTCAGTTATGCGCCAGAAATAAGGTTTGGATTCTATTGGAATTCAGCTCTGATGACCTCAGAAGTTAAAAATATCATCGTCACTGAAGTGTGGCGTAACTTACGTTTCTTGCTCCCGATACGCAGCACTTCTGTCAAAGACAGCTATACACAGGAATAAAGGCACGTGCAGACGCAAATAGTTAGATAGGACATCTTCATCTTTCTGTGCACGTAAATAACGCTCAAAGCCCTGGAGCCTAAAAACGTAGTGCTGTCGTCCGCCCATGTTAGGCGCTTGGGAAAAAAACGACAGAATTTCGCCTATCCCCTACCTCGTCATGGTATTTTTACTGTCACTGCTGAACCTACGCCTTGTAAACTAGACCTTCCTTTGTTTGTTTCCAGTCTATAACCGCTACGTGTATCAAGTTTCAAATTCTTTTCATATCTTTACGCCCCACATCCAATTTGGCGCAAAACAACTGCTAACTCAGCAGATTCCTATTCCTCAAATATATCGTGATGGAAGTAGCCAAGTGTCGCAAAATTACATGACTTTGTGTGATTATGTCAGAATTTTTATCATCCCGGACCCAAGTTTTCAAACGTGAAGAGTCCTGGCAATCGCAACAATTTTTATCCACCAACCTGTAATTGTTGAAGACAAAAGTCCTAAGTTACCGCGAAAAATTTCCTCTCGCTGGAATAATATATCACTCTATAAGGATCGTTCATCTATATGAATCATCTTCGGACATATGTATCGACAACCAGGCGAAGAATTTCATCAACAAATCGATAAATTCTTAAAAATCGGCATTTTCAAACGTAAATTTTCAATATCAATTTTCTCGAGGATAGTGCGGACTAAGTGTGCCTGTAGGGGAACGAGAACTTAGATCATAGTCAGTCTCTAACTAAGACAAACCTATGCCGTTACGTCAGTCTCCGTGCGGAACTTCATCAGGTCAGAAAGCATTAAAGCCGTACAGAGCATCTCTCTGGTCCAGCCATTCAGAAGTAACCGGTAATCAGGCATATTTGATGGGCAGGCTCATATAATCCAGTTATTTCAATAAAAATTCACAAAACCTAAATTCTTAGACGAGAACATGAATTGCCAGCAGGAACATTTTGAGACGGAGTTCATAACTCAGTCCTCAAACTAGGGAGTGTCATCATTAATGTGCTAAATCGCAACTGTATTTAGGGATTAAACGCCTATGCGAAGAACACGCTTGATGAAACATGATTTACCCCTAGGAAACAGTAACGTAGTTGACAATTACTCTCATTTGCATAGGAACTTGGTTTTGCTAGGGAACTCCAATAGTGACGGTGTGATTCATAGTTAGTAAGACAACGACTACGCAAGCAAGCAAACGTCCATCTGTTATGATAGTGCAACGTTGTTAGAAAGAAGGTAAGTAATTGATAGTCCCCAAATGTGGCTCATTAATGGACAGGTATACGTCATCAATGTTCACCTGTTTTGACCGTTTCCTACAAGATGCCTCGATAGTCGAATTGAAACTGCTTCAGAAAAGCTTGTTATATCATTGAAATGCCTTAACTCATCCGAAGCCCTATCTCCTACAAGTAATTTGTTGTACATTGATTATTTTAACGAGTTGAGCTCTGTGCGTCAGGATGAATCATTTTATGATGTGCGTGAGGCACGTCCAGGGTGGAGCCTATGGTTTTTTCCATTGAAACCCTAAGCAGATGGTGCCTTGTCAAACGGGACTAAACCTAAGTAAGAGTGAGCAGCTGAAGAAACAATGTTTGCTCTAATTCTCACGTTCATATATGGACGGTAGGCGCAATCTGACAGATTTTCTAAGCACATGTGCGATAAGGTTGGGTTGTATGCTTAGAGAATTTGGGAAATATCCTTCTGCATACTGTGAAACGTCAGTTAGTTAAATAAAAACCTAATACAAATTAAGTTCATTTCAGGGTATCCGTAATCCAACACAATGTATTTTACACATTTGATAGTCAGCCGCCTCTTTTCACAACTTATGGACTGACCGTCGTGTAAAAGTTACGCCAGCCATGCGAATTTCTTCGAACCGTACGCAGACAACCTATCCAGATTTTTGTTTACGTTACTTTTTACCAACTAATTTTTGTTGCCTTGCCAATTATTCCTGGAATTCAATGGACGTTGTCTGTTTCCTCCAACCAATTACCACGCCAGTGGTTTACTATCACCATGAACAGGACCTTATTTGGCTCAAGTTGAGAACTTGGTGAACCAGTCAGTGCTGGTCCACGTCAATAACGACCTATTTTTGAATTCGGACAGTCGCGGATTGACTTCGTCTGCATTGCTAGTGTAGTGTTCCTCTCAGAGTCGGATTTTAATCGAATCAGAGAAGTAACCACAGGACTGGTTCACAAAACTTAGAAATTCAGTAAGATTTTAGGTCACCTAACGTCAGACCAACCTGAATTCCAGATTTCTTGGAAACTGAAGTTTATGGTGTGTTTTGATAATTTAAATGAAGTTGACGGGAGCAGAAAAAAGAGCGAACAGGTGGCTGTATTAGCATCTTTCTGGTGCTCTTACGATGCACCTGGGCTGTTAACAATGAAGTTTAGACATCTGGGTAGTAAGGTGTCCCTTAATTGCATTAAAACAGCTGAATTTTGGCTCTGCCATAGGTGAACGCGTTGCAAAATTTGCAGAAATAATTTTGGTACGTCGGGATAATTACTGTTACCGCCTGAGATAAGAATGATCCTAAGATCTATAGAATTTCGGTCGAGTGTATCAGGGCGCCAGTGGTTCTTTGGAACTGTGTGCATGAAGGCACGTGTTGATACGCAGATACAGGAAAATGTACGGATATAAACAATATAAAATTTGCGTTGCTTGGTAATCAAGAAATCATGCTTGCTCTATTGGAGCTTGAGAAGTATCCAGCTATCGGTTACAGGTAAAACACGTGACCTGAATGAGAAGATAATCATTACGTACTGCTAAACGACTTCCCTGAGATGCAGGGCAAGGAACACTGAAGTTGTGACTTCATCCTTTTCCTATTAATATTCCTAGAAACAGTGATCAACATCAAACGGCCATTTTAGGTAACCGCAGGGAGCTTGCGCAGGGACGAAATCTATGCTGCACGTAAGACCCTGGCCACAATGTAAGCCCGACAGGAAACGTGTCTGCCTCAGACGATCAACCATTTTAGGTTACGGAAGAACCCTACACCCAATGGAATGGCAGAAAAATCATCTATCTAAGATAAAGTGAAACGTTTTGGAACACGAAACACTTAAATACTGGAAAACAAGCGAGTAATCCAGGAGTTGAAACTCTTCGGTACATCCTCAATTATTTGGGCTACCACAACATGCAAACGCGCAGGTCTCAACAAAATCGGTCTTGCAGGCCGCCAGTTTACAAGCCCACTCTTCTGAAGACCAAATACGTTTGCTTCATTTTATCATTATTATCCGCCTGATATGTTCATCCGAAGGGTGGATGCATCATTTACACCAGAGTTAATGGGGTGCCAATGGGTTATCCGCTGTCACCCTGCCGGTGTGCTACCTGGCTTTTTCTGGAAACGCTTGCACGGTTTCATACTGGAGGTAGTTGTGCAACACACTTAATTTGGGAGGGATCGGAGATTATACCGGTATATCACTTTTGATCGGAAGCAACACTTACTGGCCGGAAATTACACTTATCCTACTTCTGGATTGACCAACTATTTCAAAGGAACCGTTCGGTCACCAAATAGGTTTCAATACCGTGACAATTAGAGAAACTGTGCTTCCGTTTTTTTCGGGCAGTATGATTCAACAAGGACTTTTAATTCCGTGGTATGGATACATGATTTGATGGCTCCAGGTTCAAGAACGTCAAACATCCAGCTCAAAGATCAGAGTGCCAGTTTGCGCATGCGTCCACTTTGCAACTGGTCTTGTGATTTCGTTAGGAGTGAGTCAGAACGGTTGCCTTACATTTATAATTAAGAAAAGAAAACTACGATTCCTTATCTTGCCTAGTAAGCAGCAACATTTATGCTTAAAATAACTGCTTGTACAAGTTGACTGTCAGCGACCCATACTTTTACACTAGATCAACATAACATTCATGTCGATCCCCCAGAACCTCAACACTCATGTTTTCATGTGTCAAACATGAACACCTGTCTTTTTATCTCACCGGTCCGCATAAAACAACGGTGCATTATTTTGAAAAATTCAGTATATTCTTCATGTGAAAAAAATATGCTGGAAGTTATCATACACAGAAAATCACGCGGTGCAGTATTTCATTTTGTGGTCTACGAGTATAAATTTCCGTTTAATCTGGCAACTGGACGAGTGGTTGTCTACAGATAATATATTACTCCGGGATAAGCAATATCACGATGAACACAGTGGTGGATTTTCCTTTCTGTCACATCCGAGAAAAGAGCCACGTTAGCGCTCTATGGGTGCATTTTCATAAGGTCAACCGTCCTTCTTTCACGAATGAAGTCCGGATTGGAGATGCAGTAGAACTGCTCTCCGAGAGTCTTCGGGCTGTAAGACGCCTTACACGTTCATGGTGTTCCCTCACCATGTTTTCCAGTTGTATGCGCTGGAAAAAATTAACGGAAATGTCACAAATTAGAGCACCGCCGTCTACTAAAGGTCTCATGGGATGAATACAGTGAAACCAAACTAGTTTCTTAGTCTACAGATTGCACTGCTGCCTTAAAATTGTATTTACCGTGTTTCAGGTGTCTATTATTTACCTTTAACGTGAGAAGACATTGCTACTTTTATGTTTCACTTACAATCACCACAGCTAAAACCTGGCTATTTCGGAAACTGAGTAATAGAAATCTCTTCAGTAAGCTGCGTATAAGCTGACTGTCATCACTGGAACTTGCAACTGATGAAAAAAATAATTACAGAGTGATATTCAAAAAGATAAAGGCGTGATTTCTTTGAGTCCTGGGAATTCACTGCGTAACTTTTGCGGTTTATTTGGCCTTGTCAGCTTTGATAAGTGCTTGCGAATTATCTTCTGTGTTACGGTGAAGAGCGTGGCAGTCAAACAACATGGAATGTGAAAAGCTGGGTAATTTTGGGACACCTCCCGCCATGGCCTAAACATGTTCTGTCAGCATTCTTATGTAAGTCTTTTTTCCAAGAATCATTCCACGACTGCTGTGCAACTAGGGGATGCAGCTGCACCAGGGTCGTATTGCACACGGTTTGCTGTTTGTCTAGGTGAATGTACAGATATTTTCCAGTGAGATGTTTGGAAAGAAGACGATGGACGCCTTTTCGGTGTGTCGCAAAATAAGTGCAAAAGCAAAAGCTGATACTGCGCACCTCGAAAGCTACTGAGCCACAGAATTTAACAGGATACATCACAGAAGTGCACCGACCCATGATTCAACAGCTTCATCCATCTACTGATAATCGCAATGAAATAACCTTGTTTTGTAAAACGGGAAGCCTACTGCAATGTCTGCGGTAACAATGTGTAAAGTGACAAAAACATTCGGTTACAGTAACTAATGCCACCCTATGCTGTCTGAATTTTAAGTGGGTTAGTGTTACTGGTCATTCCATTTACAAAAGGCAAAAGCATTCAACCGCCGATTAAAACTTACCCGCCTCATTGCTCGTCCATCTGCTCTTTGATTCTGTTGGTAGATTCTTGAAAAGTTGGAGACAATTACTGGAACCGGGAGAGCGATTACCAGAACCCCACACAGGGAACACACGCTACCAACAATTTTCCCCAGTATTGTTGAGGGCACCATATCACCATAACTGAAAACAAGAGTACAATGTTATTTAATTACCCCTCTTTGAAGTAAGTTAACACATGTCTGGAGATCAGTGTTAACTAACATTGGCTCAGCACATAGCCCCTTCAAAATCAACTAACTTGTATGGCATTTGGCTTTCGCGTGGCAGTTGCACTGTTAGGAACCACTTTGTAACAATTTTTAAAAGAAAACTGTTCTTAGATTAAGTGGATGAAGTAAGTAAGTTGCTTAACACAGTTGTGATAAGTAACTTGAAAGGTGCCCAGAATTGCGTGTATTTTAGGACTTTGATGGTTAATTTGATTCACTGGACGCCGCAAACGAAGACGTGGTAGCTGTTGCGGTTGGTAGTTGAAATGAGGGACATTTAAGCTTGCAGGCTAAGAAATATTTAAAGTTCTAATGCCCGTTCGTCTACTCGGTTAGACGTCATAGGATCGAATCCGCCCGAGTTTTGTGAGATGAATGGTGGTGTTGGTTTTCAATAGGAATTCTGCACTGATGTAGTGTCCTAAATCTACTCAGCCTATAAAATTCACGTTAAGGGTATAGACTTGACCAGATCACCTACCTATCTTTGTTGTCAACAAATTGGCATGGCCATTTGGACCAACTTATTTGCCTGTCAGGACGTGCCATCATGCGGAACTATGGAAGGTACCGGACTTTTGGAAGGTTTCGTGTGATCATATGAAAGCGGTTACTATTTCGGCTGCATTCGGACATAAAATAGTGCTCTTTTACACCTGAGTGCCTTGCGACATTCGGATGGCCCTGTGACAACATTGGTGGTACGTTGGTTCGCAAATCAAAAGACCAGAGTTTGACTTCCAGCAACGCTATTACTATGCACTACTGAGTAGCTCACTTAATGGTAAGATTGGGTAATCCTTTCCTGAAGGTGCAGTAATCGTGAAAGACCAAAGGCTGCTAGATCAACAATCGTGCTGGCTACAATTTAGAATCATCGGCATAACAATAGAAGTAAGCTATGCTCCTTTGTAAAGTTATTAACAACTGTAAAAGCTTACACTTCGGTCTGAGACGAGTGGTTCAAACAAACCCCTGATTTTCTCAGTCATATATTTCAAAATCATTTTGGATGCAAAACAATGCGTATCATGTATAAGTAGATTTAAAGACAGCTTAAATTTCTCGCACAGTAATACAACAATAATACAATTTACAGCATGCTACTGACAGCTCGCGATCTGTCTGTGATAGAATTAGGATAGGACTGCAGAACATGAAAAGGCTCCCAAGATAATATTCGTTTACCACCAAAAAGCATGAAAGGTAGGCAGTTAAAAGAGCTGCAATGATATATTATTTAAACCCATCTAGTTTGTATAATATATATATATATATATATATGGTGATCAAAACGTTCGAAACAGAAACATTGTTTTCAGCCTCAAGGCCACCGGTAAAACAACTAAGGGAGACACTCAGTCCGGATTGATGGAGGAATTACTAAGGTAGCGGGTTTCATAAATCTATCCTTGGTGTTCTCGAGAAATCAATTTGGTTGTCACAAGGGACTCAACTGAACCTCCCGTTTATGGTGTTCTACAACTGAATGTGCCACACAGAGGCCGCCTCATGTTTCAGCTGGTACGATATTCGAGATAACGTAGTATATTTTAATGAAGAAAACTACTCATAAGGTTGCTGAAAAATCTTCGTAAAACTCTAACACTATTGTAGTAGAACAGCGAGCATTCCGTTTTCTTGGCAGCTAACTTTTACACTCTGCACAAATATAAGTTATCAGCCTGCAGCACTAGTAGTTCAAATGAAGGGGAACCCAGTCATGGTTCCCCCAGGGGAAAGCTTTCCGTCTGGAGGACTTTCTACGATGCTGTGACTGGGGAACAACCCCGTGTTTGATTCACAGGTCCGCTGTGGAGCAGTCATTTGGAGCAGTTTTGTTGTTTTCCACAGACCAAGTATCCAGAGTGCGACAATTCGTGAGGCGAAACCGTGATTCGACTCCTTTTCGAAGTTCCGCAGATGGGCTTGATTGCATGTTAAATTCGAGATAAAAACATCTGTGAGCACTTGACCTGTAAGCTTAATTTTAACTGCTGCACAGCACATAGAAATGAACTGCGATTCCTCCTTACTTTTATTAATTTCGAAAGTAATTTACTTTGTCACGCGATGTGGCAGAATTCATTGAGGTGGTGTACGCTTTGGCTACACTAAAGTTCATGCACTGGCAATTCCGCCTCGTTTTTTTAATTTGCGCGTTCTTCACTTAGTAAATTCTTAGTTCAAAGTCTCTTTCACTTGCATTGATAATCCGTTCTGCTTGCTTTTCAGGAGGTATGAACTGAGTCAGTCCCTCCCATAGGGGTGCAGAGTAGCTGTGAAATTTTACGCAAATTTGATAGAACTCCAGAGTTAATCTTCCTCTTGCATTTCTTATAATATCCGCTTCCTATTCAAACTAGAAAAGTGCCACTGCTAATAAAGGAGGACTCATAAGGTGTGTGGTTGCTCGTGACCTCGTTACTTCCGGTAATTCCTTCAACTAGGATAAAGCTTTACATAACGAGTAATCCGTTTACCTGTGTGTTTAGAAGCACAGCAATCTTAATTTTCAACATGAGGTATCCATAAAAAGGATGGTATTTAATCGCTCTTTTTTCCTTCCATCATAAGCCCATGGCTGATCCGTGGCCGTAAGTTACATGCCTCAAAACATTTTGCTAGGTAATATTTAATAGCGTCCTTCGTCTGCTAGAGAGCCTATCGGATGGTAATCACGACCTGCACTGATCAACGGAACAAATAATTTCATCTGAACTTGAAAATGGGCAAGGATACATTGCTAAACATTCCCTATTTATATTTGTAATGTACTACTCATAAGGTTGCTGAAAATCCATCGACAGCCCACGACCGGTTTCGCCCTTCTTGGAGCTCATCAGGTAGGCGCATCATAAAAGAAGATACATCATAAAAGAGAGATTCAGCTGGGTTCCAGGTGAGTCTCTCAAAAGAACAAAATTAGTTTGCAGATGAGTGTATATTCGCTAATTTCGTGCAATTTGGTTTCAAGTAGAACATAAGGTTGACGGAAACCCGGGGACTGCGCCTACCTGATGAGCCCCAAGAAGGGCGAAACCGGTCGTGTGCTGCTGATTGATTTTCAGCAACCTTATGAGTAGTACATTACAAATACACATGTATCGCGATGTTTCAAATATCGTAGCGACTGAAACATGAGGCGGCCTGGTGCAGCACATTCAGTTGCCTGAGAACATCATAAACGAGAGATTCAGCTGGGTTCCAGGTGAGTCACTCGAAAGAACCAAATTAGTTTGCAGATGAATATATATTCGCTAATTCCCTATTTATCTTCACGCGAGACCCTAAATCAACTGTGCCTTATAGATACGTAACCTTTTATTGTCTCAATTCGTGCACAAGAGAGCATCAGCTAAATTCGAAGTACTATGTTTGCACGGACGATTGTCGCTGAACTGCCGGATTTGTTAGCGTTAGTTTGTTAGAGACACCAGCCAACTGCCAATCGAAATATGGATTTTGTGAAGTTCTCTACTAACAATAGCATGGGTATCCAAGCAACACTTTAATACGTGTAAACAAAAACATTTGTTGCATATCCAACCATTATTACCCCTTGAAGGTCGTAAACGACTAAACAGGGTTGGACAGCCGCCCGGACGTCAAAGATCTACTGTTGACACACTAAATAACGTACAAGTCAATATCTCTAATTGTTTACACTGAATAACCATTGATTATGGGCTGGGTCAGATAAATGGGTATGCAATATTTTGAATCAAAATTGCTACAACAGAATGTCTGCTTCCAATGTGATTACTTCAAGGCTTACAAGCTTTCCGACAAAAGAGATTTGGAGGGCGACCCAGGGTTTCGTTTTTCCCAAATGTAATGAGTGACTCCGTGCCAATATTTTCCCACAAACATCTTGTGGAAATATGTTTGGTACTCCCAGGCACACATTGTCCATTGTCGTTGATAGATTTTTTCCTCCTAGGTAGATACTCACTAGGTTACTTGGTGCCTATTTCAACACATTCTGGAAACATTGAAGAAAAATTTGGCAAGCCTAGTGGGACTCACTAAAACCACTGGAAAAGTCTGTGTGAATCGTATTCCTCGTGACACAAGTGAATGAAATTCGATAGACTTATACGTCAACATCCCTCAGGAAACTTTCGCTCACAAATTAGGTCGACCAATATCCCAATCCCGAAATTTACACCGAATGGCTATAGAAACCTCAACCTCTTCAACGCCACCTGAAAATTGACATCGTAATCATTCCTTTAAGTCCCAGTCAGTGTCCATCTGACTGTCACTGTCAACGTCTCCGGCACCATGTTCAACTTCTTCCTACTAATAATCTACGAATTGGTATGCTGGCAAATGCTCTCTGTTCTTCTATTAAAAGACCAACACACTCATACTTTACCAGATATTCATATTTCGACTGCTACACCGTAACGTTCACATTCAACTCTTGTCTGTGATGACACTTTTCTCTACGCATTTGAATTGGTCTTCCGAATTGTTTCAACCGTTTAACACGTCGGACTTTTAACAGAATAGGGCCAGAAAGTTGTGGTAATGCGTAATTTTGGTAACAAAAAATAACATTGGAGACCCTGTACAGCATCCGCTGAATAATGGATCACCATTTGCTGATAAACATTTGGGAACGATTGGACCAAGGCTATGATGTGACCACACATTACCCTAGATTCGTGTTTAGTGCCAATTTAGCCAACTCGTACAAGTCACCAGCCCATAAATAAGGCTCGGTTAATGGAACAATAAAAACAGATGTAGCAGGACTCAACTACCATGAATTCAAGTAGTTTGAATTATTTTTTCGAATTTGTCGTCCGCACCTGTTCTGACATCGTAATGGCATGTCCAGTAACGTTGATATGGATTTGCAACACCCCAGGCTACTGGTAAAACATGTGCATTTTATGCGCC